ATAAGATCGTGTTGCGAATTAAATACGAATTCGTAAACATGCTTTCTCACTCGTGAATATATGTTTTAACAAACTTTATAAAACTGAGAAGAGCATCTTTTTAGCCTGTCAGGTAAAATTCGATGAATAGGATCAAAATCTTTCCAAGTTGAATAGGGTACGAATTAAAAAATTTCAGTCCATACATAACTCTAAGAACCGCATGCATCATAACTCTTCGAAAAAGTATATAAAGCACTTTTGCATAAACCAATTTTTACTTACATGGCTTTGGTATATTTCTTATCATCGTCATTTGATTAGATACTGTCGTATTCGAAATCACTGTCACATTTTGAAAATTCTAGAAAACATTTTATATAAAAGAATTTGTACTTACATTGTTTGAATTTTTACTAATTTCTCTTTTTTTGTTTCGATATTTTGGAGTTCCGCTGTCGAGAGACTGCTTCTTCAGAAATTTTATTGTTGACAACTGAAGTTTGACTTGAACAACTATGTACTACAGATATATATGGAGAACGTGCAAAAAGGGAAGATGATCATACACACAACCTCTTTCTAAAACCACAAATATTTGCGAAGAAGCTGTCTCTTGACAGCCCGTCCTGGGCGAACTTTTTTTAAAATACCGCCGGTTCAACACAAGTAACGTTCATCTTCGATTCACTTGATCCCTTGACGTTGGGATGTATATGTGTCTTGCATGATTTTGATTAACACGGCCGATCAACTTTTGTGAGCCTTCATATTTTTAGATAGCTTATTGATGAAGGGAGGAAAAACATTCTCCATTGCATGAACCTGTAACGGAGTCTTAAAGAAATATTTGTGTCCCAAAAACAGAATGATCTTGTCTCATTTAATCTGAGTCATCCGTTAAAGGTGATTTATACGACATTTTTGAGAAAGAAGGGTTTCAGAGAAAACAACTTAAGTTATCGAAAATGAAAATGATTAAATTTTTTTCTTTGTCTGTTCGTTAAGAAGCTTTAATCTTTCCGTTTCTTTGAACGGAGCATTAGATGGCTTTATGAAGAGCCACTTTTTTTGAAACGGACGTAGTATTGCCAGATCTTCTAATCTTTTGACGTGGGAGAGAGCCACATACCCAGTAGCCAGTTCGTGCTGTGGTAGCGGACGTGGAAGCCGTAAGCCGGAACCATAAGAAGCCGTATATCACGAAATAGCACAGCAGCTATGAATACATAGTACATATGCTTTCATTACTCACGGACTACAATATTACTAATTGGTCGGAACAATCTCGAAATTGGCTCATTGTGTACAGAGCAGTTAGTGAATTTATATTTATATTTAAATTTGAATTTATTTATTATAGTTATATGAAACGTTTTCTACAATATCCCATGAAATATTGTAGAAAATAGGTTTTACTAAAACGTTGAAAACTCGTGTAATTTGAACGGGATGGTTTCAATTAGACACATTTTGCTGTACGGTTCCAATTAAGCTCAGTGCCTAATATGCAACCATCTCGTTTTTACATACACTAAAGTATGGTAAGTATAACTTGGTCAATTTTGGTCCTACAAATCTCGAATTAGTGGCATTCGACGGGGCTCTTTTTCCGGATTATGACCATATAAAAACTTCTTAGTTTATCTTACAAAATCTTTGAAAAAATAGGTTTTACTAAACCGTTGAAAACCCATGTAATTTCAACGAGGCGGTTCCAATTAGACACACATTTCGCTGTACGGTTCCCATTAGGCACAGAGCCTAATTGGAACCAAAACAACCTTCTCCTTAGTAAATCTTCCTGCGATCCGTCTCTGATGGGAATTTCGGAATAATTTTTAGATCATTAAATAGATAAGGCTTTCAGCTACAAAAGTCCCCAAATTCGGTGAAAATCGCTTCAAAAGTCGCTCAGATACTAGAGTCACAAGTTAGACAAATCTAGTTGCGGTTCCAATTAGACACTGTACTGTATTAAGAGAAGTCCAGCCGATGAAGTAAAGCGCAAAAGATGAAAGAAGAATAGAAATGATATAGACGTTGCTTGATTAGATGCTTGGTTAAATAATAGCCTTTCTGATGATATTTTGTTTTGCTTTTAATACAAAAGTATACGCTTATTAAACAAGACAACAACGGCGATTTTCTATAAATAATTTTCAAGATTACAGTGTAGTATGAATAGTCTAAATAGCCCAAATGGTCAAACTTGTGTAAACAGTCAAACTAGGCAAACAAGTCAAACTAGAGTAAAATACTCAGAATACTCTCAATCGTCTAAGTAGTTAAAGTTGTCTGGTTAGTTAAACTACTTGAACTAGAAAAAACAGTCAAACAAGCATAAAGTGTCAAAAGGTAATCGTCTAAATGCACTTAGACTATATTAGTGATGTGAATGAATGCACCGTGTGTGCACTTATTCAAATCACTAGTATAGTCTAAGTGCATTTAGACGATTACCAGCTCAATTTTATTTTGAATGGATAATTATTGATTACAATTCTTTTATAATGTATTTAAGGCAAGGAAAAACTGCCGAAAAAAACATATAAGGCCGTAGCAGTGGCATCTCTTGCAGAGCTGGGCAAGTCAAGTCAAAAATGACTTGAGTTGACCTCGGAAGTTTTTGACGATTCATGACTTGACTTGAAATTTTTTTTAAAAGACTTGACTCGTGACTTGACATAAAAAATCAAGTCAAGTCATGCATATTTTTAAACCGTTTATGCAATCTAATTTTAGATAATAATTCATAATGATTTGAGAACCTTAATCTTATACCACAAATTTCTGATTAAAATGAGACATCTCCCAGCTCTACACGACCTTTCTTTGCATAGTTATACAATTATAAGAAAAGCCCTAAATGTTCATTGTCAGCTCAAAGCTACAGAAATAAGAAGAAATTAATTGAGGGCTTTCTTGTAAATTATATAACTATGCAAAGAAAGGTCATGTAGAGCTGGGAGAGTCTCATTTTAATCAGAAATTTGTGGGCTACAATCATGCCTCATTAAAAATAGATTTGAGTTATTTTTCAGAGTTTCTGAAAAACTGGTTTTCTAGAAAACCGGGTCTTTAAGAGTCATCGGCACGAATCGTTTTAGGGTATTTATTACCTCACTGAGATCTATCGATCCATGCACAAATCATTGGAATCGGAAGGTTACACCTCGAAAAGTTCCCCGTAAGTGCTCGTACTACGTGTGTATTATTTACGTGTGATTTGTTTTTGAACTATGTTAGACTCATTAGAGTATTGTCTTTTTTTATGATTATCTTTTGAAATACATCTTTTTTGGAAATACGAAAAACAAACATCGTATCTAAACAAAATGTCGAAGCTCGTAGAAAACTTGTAACCTGCCCAGCTTCGCTGTGGGTATTTTTCTACGGAAAATAAAAATTCCAAGTCATGACTTGTGACTTGACTTGGAAAACCCCGAGACTTGACTTTACTTGACTTGAGAAAATTTTTTATTACTCATGACTTGACTTGACTTAAGAAAATTTTTGATGACTTGACTTGTGACTTGGAAAACCCGTGACTTGCCCAGCTCTGATCCCTTGACCGTTAGATCAATAACTTGTATAACATTTTATTCTTCGTGAAAAAAGCTATTTTTCTCTCAGTGTTGGTGGACTAATACCAACAAATATTACTCCTACATAGCTCTGCGTATGTACATTATACTTAACGTAGGCGGCGGATCCACTGAAACTCAGTCTCATCTAATTTTGGACTCTAATCTAGAGCACTGCATTAGATGGACATGTCCATGGAAATGGACAGTTTTTTTAAATCTGTCCATGGACAAAAAAAAATTGTCCATGCAGGTCTCTAAACAGGAATGAAATTCTCATACGCAAAACGTATTTAAAAAACGCGAACATTTCATGGACAAACTGATGGACATGGACAGAAAAACACTTTTGTCCATGGACAAAAAAAAATTGTCCATGCAGGTCTCTAAACAGGAATGAAATTCTCATACGCAAAACGTATTTAAAAAACGCGAACATTTCATGGACAAACTGATGGACATGGACAGAAAAGCACTTTTGTCCATGGACAAAAAAAAATTATCCATGCAGGTCTCTACTCTAATCCGATATTTTTGGTGAAAAGCGATGTTTTTAGGGTAGGGAGAGGAGCCTCAAGGCTGGAAAGCATGTTTCGCTTTGTTAAACTACGGCAGTGCTGCTTCTCCTCAAAGTGATATTATGTCTGACCGCATTATGTGTGAACTGACATTTTGCTTATCGAGTTTAATGAGGCAGTCGATAATATCCCGTGTATGAAAAAAAGTGCAAAATAATAGATATATAGATGGTACAAGATTAGGAAACAGAACATTGAACTGAATCTGACGTTCAGGATAAGACATTCTTATAATGACTCAACCTCAGAGAACTAATGGAAAAAACCGTATTTTTCAGCAAAATTTAAAGAGAAGAGGCTTTTCGATAGCGACATCGATGGAGTTTTGATTGTTCAAAATTCCCTATCCAATCAGTATCTGATAATATAACGAATCAGAATTTTTGTAAAATTTGACGGCATTATTGTTAATGGAAAATTTAACAACCAAACGGTTGCGTTATCGACACGAGTTTTCACTCAGTGCTACGGTATTTTTTAATTCACATTGGGCATATTCTCTTCGTTCTGGAGCGTTATCCCTTCGCTTGTTCTTACACTAATACATAATAAGTTTCTATTTTTACATTGATGAATGACTTCTCTTCTACCCAGATCGAACGATACAGTCCATATACGGATGGTCTACTGGACGTAGGAATACGGACCGTAACATCATTAAAATACGGTCCGTAAACGGTACCGTTTCTGGGCACAGTAATACGGGGTCGTATACTGTGAAAATACGGCCGTATACGGCCCTATTTTAATGATGTTACGGTCCGTATTCCTACGTCCAGTTGACGGCCCGTAACGGATATCCGTTTTGGTCGACCGGGGTAGAAAAACTGTTAGATCGTCTATCTGCTTATCGTTAATGAGTAATTCTCTTATTATTGTTGTTTTCTTTGTTAAAGATGAGGATCAATCAAAATTACCGTTAGTCTTAGCAGTAGCGGGTGGTGCTCTTTATTCATGATGTCACCAAAATTTAGAAAAGTAGTTCATAAAACGAGAAGGGACCAAAGTGAAATTAGTCCACTCATTAAGTAGGTGTTTAATAAATTTACCTAGCATTAAAACTATGAAAACTTTATTTTTCTTTATTTTTAAGGTATTTGATGTTTGGATTCAATATTATATTCTGGGTAAGTTACTCTAGTCAAAATCTAGTTTCATTATAGACAAAGTTTATTTTCTCTCTAGATACTTGGATTCTTGATAGCAGCTATTGGTGTTTACGCATGGGTAGAAAAAGAGACATTTCAAAATTTTGGCAGATTGACAATGGGTGGAGCTTTATTTTTTGATCCAGCTTTACTGTTTATTCTTGTTGGTGTAACAATGTTTTGTATTGGTTTTGCCGGTTGTTTGGGTACATAATTAACGATTTGTTTTATTCTTTAAATTTGTCTACTGTTTTTATTTTAAGGTGCTCTGCGAGAAAATACTTGTTTACTACTGTTTGTATGTGTTTATAAATTTTTTACTGTACTTATTCTATCCAAATCATCTATTCATCATTTTAGTTCAGTTTTGCTTTGGCAATTATATTTTTTGCTCAATTAGCATTTGGTACTCTAATATTCATTTATCGTGACAAAGTATATTCAAATTTTGATCTCACAATGAAATCTGTTATCCTGTATTTATATGTTTTTCCCTCTTAGGTCAAAAATGAAGCTGAAAAACAGTTATTAGTTATGATAACAAGTTATCGTGATGATCCGGATCTGCAGAATATGATCGACTGGATACAACGCGATTGGGTAATTAAGGAAGAAACAACTAAACAATTAAGAAGAAACTATATTTTTCACTGACTTTTTTAGCTACACTGTTGCGGTGTGAATTCTTATCGTAATTGGGAAAGTAATGTCTATTTTAATTGTTCATCAAAAGCTGTAGGTAGTGTCGAAGTAAGTGTACATGGCTGGATTTATATTTTTCGGATATTTCATGGTACTGCTTTTTTAGGCGTGCGGTGTGCCATCATCCTGTTGCAGACCAGACTATTTTCATGTAAATAAACATAAAGACAATAAATTCTTGCTTACATACGTATGTATGTTGGTTTCTTTTAGAATAATAAACAATGTGGTTACGGCACGCTCGAACCATCAGCGGTAAGAAAATTTACATGTTTATTCGTCTCTCTACAGACACGCTCCAGTCAGCGGGCTATCTCGAAGTGTTCAAAACAAGCTGAAAGTATATTGAAATCATTAGTTTACGTTACGTAGTTTCAAGATTGTTTTTGTACTTCTCAAACGGTAGAAAGTTTTGAAAGGTTGACTTCTGCAGTTAGCGAGTACTGGTGTATTTCACAAGTATTGAACTCAAACACCCAGTGTTTTATTTATGTTTTCTCTGGATTTTAGGCTACACATATGATTTATACAGAAGGTTGCGTCTTACAAGGATCCCAATGGTTTGAACGACATATTTTACCAGTAGCTATATTTGTTGTTGTACTTGCAGTCCTTCAGGTAGAACTTTATTTTTAAATAAAATCCTTTAGTACTATAGAGGCATTTTTTATTGTTTAGATCCTTGGAATGTGTTTTGCACAAAATTTACGTAATGATGTGTTAGCGCAAAAGGCTAAGTGGAGTTATTACAGAACTTAATCAAACTTTTTTAAAATTTTAATCTCAATTATTCGATATACATCAAGAAAAACTCGCGCATATATGTATTCCAATTTTATCTTATGCCATTGTCAGATCCATTTGCAAAACGAAATCAGAAAGAATGAACAGTGTGCAATATGAAAAAAATAAGCTCAACATTTATGATTTTTCCAAAAGCATCCTTTTTATGCTCGAAAACTCTTCACTCATTTGTCATTTTTTTGTCTCTCATTTTCGTAAGAAATAATGAGTGGAGGTTTATTCATGCAGATATTTATCAACTTTAACTTTTGATATATGTGACAAGTTTTTGTTTTGATTCTTTTCTCCAATAGATCTATTTCTCTTCGTTCTCAATTTGTATATTTTGAGGTGTTATGGTCAGCCCTGCCTTCATCTGTGTATAACTATTTGTTGTTTACTTTTTGATTGATCCATGTGTATATAGACACAATTATAACTTGTTTCATCTCAGCTCTTTTTCTCTACTTTTTTTATTAGAATGAAGTGCATTCTAATTACTATATGCCATCTATATGCATTCTAATTAATATATATCTTTTGTTATGTGGGCGAAAGTGTGACTACATTTTTTTGTATTTCTTCTCTAAAAGAATTCTGCTTATTTGTATCAAATCGTATTTTTTCCTCAAATTAATAGCCATATGTCTCTGACGTATTCTAAAAGTGATTGTAGCAGAATTATAGTAGTTAAACTGATTATGATATTGAAAAATATAAAAAATATGGTGTTTTTATGTAAAGCTTGTTTACCATGATATGTACCCTGAGCCTCGAAGAAATGAGAATGCTGTTGTTTTTATATCTGATTGTTCAATCTATTCTATTTTTACAGTGATTTTAAATAAAGTTTAATTTGAAAATTATTCAGTTTAATACTAGAAAATATGCACTCTTTTGCACAGTTCTTTTATTTTTACGACTGATATTAATTTTACATTTGAGATATTTAAAAGTTTATACAGTGAGAAAATGGACTACGTCAATAAAGCAGCTGATGCAGCTAAAGCTGGTTTGGGTGTTGCTGGTGAACTAATACAAAAAGCGGCACATAGTGTTTCTGAAGTTTTAACTGGAGACACAAACGAGAAAAAAGACGGTAAGTATCTGATGTGTGACATCAGTGTGTCATAGAGTCTGTATTTTGACGAACTCTGTTAATACTTATTTAATATTCAGATGTTGCTCAAGCAGAAGAAAAGAATCAGAAGTCAACTGAAAAAAAGGATGGTGATAGCGATGATAAAGGTAGCGATAAACACGGAGAGGAAATAAAATCGAGAAGTAGAGAATTTAAAGAAACTGAAGATAAAAAACTTGAATCAACAACACATGTACAACAATCTGGTTATAATGATAAGCCTGTAGCAGTAAGTAATATTTAATTCTCACTATCAAAGTTGTGTGAACAATTAGCTTAAATGAAACTACATATTCAGCATTATTTTCTAATCAGTGGCGGATTCACTTTCTTTTGTTTAACAGATCCCTGTCAAAACATTAAAGACAAGTTGGCCAGAATTAGTTGGAAAGTCGAGTGACGATGCAACTAAAGCACTAAAAGAAAATGGTAATTACTGCATTTCAAATTTATTGCATATTTATCTTCTGTATTGTTAAAGGTACATTTGATATCAAGATATATAAAAAAGGCACATCGTCAGCCAGTGATCATGTAGAGAATCGTGTGCGCCTCATTACGGATGAAAATGGTATTGTTGTTGAAGAACCGAAAGTTGGTTGATCATTTTTTTTTATATTCAATATATACTGACCCTATATTTTTCTTGTTGATTTGTTTACTTTTTTTTTTGAAAATGAAAAAAGTTAACATGTTGTATGACATCATTTTTTGTCTTTTTTTATCCATGCAATAAAAATTCAGCAAAACAAATAATAACTTAGACGTGGATTATTGTTGAAGATTGATATGCTAGTTATTTGAACAAGATATTTAACTCTGAGATATCGAAAACTATCCCGATATTCTATGATTCTCAGCAGAATCAGTTTCCGCTAAAATTTGCAAAAATAAGTGTAGTAGCGATAGGATCCTATCAGATCCGATCTTGGAATAAACTAACAGTTCATTGCACTCAGTCGTAACTATGCCACTTAAAACAGAATGTTGTGGTATTTACAGTACTTTGGCGTTATATATATTTATAGATCTGTTATATACTTATACATACCACCTATCATTTGCTAATAGAGATTTGAATAATTATTCTTATTTTCTTTGTTATATGAGAAAATGGATATTAAACCTATTTAGCGTGATGGTAGTCCTTAGCACAATTACCCATAGTTTTCATCGAATTGTTTTTTACTGTTCGTGCGCGAAAAACAGCAGCTCGTGCTGCTGATTTAAAGAAGCAACTTACTACTTCGAGGCCGCACCGACACCAACGGCCCGATAGGACTTGTTATTTCCCTCTTCTATGGATATGCAAAAATACACAACTTGATAGTTGTTAAAATATAGTATGCTGAGGATGGCCGTTGACGGGGAGCCATTTTGCTAATGATGTGCGTGATCTATTATTAAACACCAGCATCTAAACAATATTTTTACATCAACAGTAATGGTAATAGTTAATAGTTACGATAGGCGTCGTTTTTTTGTTCTTAGATCGGTCAACTTTATGTTAAATAATAAATAAATAAATTAAAAAAAGTGGTAAAAGTTATGTCACATTTTTTTGCACATATCTCTTTCTTTATTTCTTCCCTAAATCAAATTTGATGATTGGTTGATATTATTATATGAGCAGTTGGCCGATGACATTCTCTATCGAGTACACAAATCTGGTCTTGACATAATAAAAAAATCATTGGAGGGGAAGTTCTTGAATGGATAGACTATAATCCTGAATTTGACGCCGTTTATAAACAATTACAGTAGCTTTAATGATTACAAACGGGCGTTGACGATGCTGTTCACATTCACTGGAATATAATGTTCTAGATACCTTTCTTACGGTTTGACAAAAAAAAATGTTTGTTATAACAACAAAATTGGGCTATTCTCGAGAAGAAAAAAATTTCACTTTCTCTAAAATTGTATGAACTAAAATGCAATAGTACCGAGCTTAGTGTCTAATTGACAAAAAAATATCTGAGAAAAATAGTTTGTGCATAGACTTTTTTATCTCCATCTATTTTACCTTTAATAATATAGTATTCATATAATCGTCCATCAGTACCGATCCTTCAATATTACAAAAGTGCAAAAATGGTCCTTACGAAAAATCTATAGCATCCATATATGACTGCCAATTTTAGAATTTAGATTATTTTGAAATTCACGTCAGTTTAAGCGTTTATTTGGCATGTTTGACTAGACGATGTTGAAGTATTATACTTAAATGAACACAACACAACGTTATATCACTTTCTTTTTTCATTGTGTACTATTTAAATGATTTTTTGAAGAGAAAATAAATTTGATAATCTATCTATTTATGACACTACGATATTACGATATAAGTACAAAAATATGTTTTGTTACTTTTTTTGCAATAATATATAATAATTCTGTCAGATATAATGTTATTCTAGAACGCACAGCGTATTCTAATTCTGATTCTGTATTTACCTAAATTTTAAATGTGTTTTTGACATATTGGGTTTTTATGGCCAGGGAAAAAACACGTTTTTTCATATAACATTATTCAAATACTGCTTTTTCTCTTTTTATGGTAGATTATTGATCTTGAAGAGCGTTCATTCACTTTTATTTCCTCATACTACATTATTCCTAAAAAGAGGATTAGATACAAAAGATAATTTTTAATAAATCAATGTATACTGCATAATATTTCGTGTTAGCAATAAAATAGTTGTCCTTTATATAAAATTAAATGTCATAAGAAAAAACACTGGACTATTTGCAAATACAACAGATAATCAAACTCAAAAAATATAATCAATAAAACTTTACTAATATGAAGCGAAAGTTACAAAAAGATAACTACACTTAAAGTAAGAGAGAAATAGTTTTGTAAAAAACATGACGGTACAACACTGTATAATCTCATAGCATAAAAATACATACGAGACGTTTTTGAACAAAATTTTCGTTTTTTCTTATGGCAATGAGAAGAAAAAAACAGTCAAATTACATGTTCTATATCACCTTTATATTTTAATAGAAGAAAACACTATTTTTATCCCTGACGTTTTTTTGATTTTATACAGTGTGTTTTATGGTGCAATAATCTATATTCAGTCATTATTGTTCCACAATTTTTACAATTGACCAACTTTCCATTTTTCGTTGTAGTACTATTATTTTTATCCATATCTTCAACTCGACGTCTTGATCTTAAAGATGTATTATCCGACTGTTTCTCTTGTTCATGTAAACATACATTAATATGTTTAGTAATATTTGCTTGCTCAAAATACTTATCACAAACTGGACAAAGTGTTTGTTGATCAGCATTTACTGCCTTCGACGGTAATGGATTTGATTTCGATAAATTAGTATCCACTTGTGGTCTAAAAGATTTTTTCGATAAAAATGCGTCGAGTGTTACCTGTCTCGATGATGATAACATTGCACCTATAAAAAAGAATATGATGTGCAAATTTCTATTAAATTATTCGTCATGGAAAAGCAGAATCGATATTGGAATGCAGAGTTCTAGCTGAAGAGCTTTACTATAGTCTCAGATAATACAGCGATATCCTCTCCGTCAGATTAGTTAGGAAATCTCAATCGGTGAAATATTACTTTCTTTTCGTTTTTCAATGCTTATTTTTCAATTGTCATAAATATATGCCTGTTTTTGTAAAATAATATGATTGTAGAAGTCAGGCTTCCATCTTTTTTTGTTGATTGAACAACCATATTCTCTCTCATAGAATGTGAGATCACTGGCATTCCTTAGCTCTAATTTCCTAGCAGCGGTAACTTACAAGGAAACATCGCCAAGTATAACTTTGAAATATTTTTAATAAAATATATTGTATAACATAGCTCCTCCTTTTCTTTCTTTCTCTTTCTCTCTCTCTCTCTCTTACTTTAGATCTTCTCCCCTATCTAAGTATTCTTGTTTACTATTTTCGTTTATGCCTTCTTATTTTCTCTCAATAATCGTTTAATTATGGTCCTTTTTTGCTGAGGATAACGTACACCGATGCAATGATCTTAATCAACTTCGTGCTGCGTTTTCTTTTCAATAAATCGATTAAATAAACTATATTATCAGTTCAAATATTGTTTTTCTGGTAATTTACATGAGTATAATCGTTTACTTCTACTCTATGTTGTATCAGTTACTATTTGTTATTTATTTGTTTATTTCATCCTATTCTAGTAGTGTTTTTGTTTATTTCGAATGACATTACTGAATAGTAACAGTAGAAACTTACCAACTGGCGTTTTTTATAAAATCGGAACAAGACAAATTTCGAAAGTATTTTTATTTTTTTTATGTGATAAGATTCGGAAAAAACCTATTGCTTATATCAAAATTTTTCTATTTTTGTCCTTGTCGCAGACAATAAAATTTAAAATGACTTTTGTTTTATTGACGGTTCCCTATGAAAAAAAATAGACTAAGAAAAACAAAAAAATCGTTATTCGACGAATAAAAGTCGATCTGTCAACAACCCTTCGGTCACCTTGGATTTTTCAATACTAATGAGTGCTTTTTTTATCCGTGCAACTATCACATTTTAACTTGTCAACACAATTGTAATAAAAAACCACAACCAGAGAGCTTTCTTATTATGAGAACAAACGGAATAGAAAATCAAAAAAGGGCTCAGTAAAGGAGTCTGGTCTTGATTCTTGAACAACTGTTGTAGTACTTTCAAGATTATTTAATAAAAAATGTTAAAGAATACCTGTATCTGTGTTGGAATTTTTTCGTTTTTCTGGTACTGTTTCTGTGTCATAGTATGTTGTCTTATTAGCGATACTTCTTGTCACTCGTTTTATCACTGATTTTTCTTCTTCTAATTTTGAGTGATAAACCAATTCTTTATCACCTTCTTCAGTATCATGATACATCTCAGAAAGTAGATTCAGATCTAAAATTCAAACATATCAGACTTCTTTCCAATCAAAAATCATAGGAGAGATATATATCTCACTCAAATTAAAGACATAAATCATTTACTGAACTTTCATCAAAACTTCTTTCGTCGAAAGGTCAGTCTGTGAAAATTTTTCTTGGTACGAATCCTCAAACCACCCTCACCCTCACAAAAACAAAACTTTCGACTACATTGGGCATATTTGTATAGGTCTGAACACACTCACCTTTCGATAAAAGAAGTTTCGATGGAAGTTCACAGCACCGACATAAATACAGGTAATCGTGAAAAAACAGATTAATTTATTATACTCGACAAAATGTCATATTACTGAACAAGTTATTCTTCTATGTACATGAATTTGTCATAGTTGTACCAGTCTTCTAAGGCTGAACTGTAACCATCACAATGTAACGAAGTATTCATTGAAGGAAAAGATGCTTTATTTGTATATCTACATTTTCACTTCCCACTCCCTGATTACCGTGTTTCTCCCATTGCATATGTTTGTCAAGAAAAACAAATTGTCTTGTTTAGAATCACTTTTTTATATTTTTTTACTTAAATACGAAGTTTTAACTTATCTGTATACCAAATTCCAAATTTCAAAAAAAACAACAACACATCATGAGAATAACGACAAAAATGCATATAGATTAAGTAAGATACATGACAAAAATTCTTCTGTTTAACGAATGTAAGTATAACAAAAATAACCGATTACCTTATGCAAAGTATCCTGTAAAAAATGAAATTTTTATTGTAAGTGTAACAACAACAATGAATTCGACTAATCTTGATTTTTCAGAAACTTCTCAGTTAAACTATAAATAAAGTACTACTAACTACAAAAATGTTATCCGTTGATCAATTTATTCTTATTAATGATAAAGATCGACTTCTATCACTTGATTCATATAAAACATGTGTTCATGATAACTATCCTATTCATCTATTGTGAAGTTATATATGATGGACCATTAAAGCTATACGCCACGCCATACTAAGTGAAACTGCATGAAATCCAATGAGATCATCAGAATTTTCGCTATTTGTGACTACGAAACTATCGCAGTTCGACATGAGACAACAAATTAATTGCAACTTCATGATCATCACTTATTGAATTTTCATATATTCTTATAAAGTTCTTGCTCTTGCTGAAAAATTTAAAGTAACAGTTGAGATTATAAGAAGTTTCATTAAAAAATCAATGTTTCTTAGGGGAAGAGGAGAATGAGTATGTTACTAGGTGATATATCATAGCTGTGAATTATTATTTTTTTCTCCTGCCGTCGATAAATGAGTCAGCATTCTATTCCAGACACATCAACACATGTTTTTATTTTTAATACAAGCAAAACTGTACACATCTGAGCTATTGATGAAATTCGACTAAAATGAGATTCACTCGACCTAGATAAAAGAATGATAGGTCTATTGACACCCGCGGGATAGCATCAAAGAGCTATTGACAATCCAAAGACTGGCTGCAAGGAACCATTGATATCCCATCGAACTGCCAGCAAGAGCTATTGACAGTCCAAAATGCACTTACACACCGCATAAATGTCTATACAGAAAAGACCACTATCTCCCAGTAACATGGAAGTCTTCTAGTGGCTCACTCCCATGCACAGACACCCCATCCAGCCGAAACCACCTCTCTAAGGCCGTAAAATTCAGAACTAATTCAACATAACATTTTGAATAACACATTATATGCAGTATGTAAGTGTATTTTGGACTGTCAATAGCTCTTGCTGCCAGTTCGATGGGGTGTCGATAGCTCCTTGCTACCGCCCCGGGGGGTGTCAATAGCCATTCCGATAAAAAAACTATCATAATTCATGAAATCTGATAAATGTAAAGATTATCTATTATCAAACAGAACTGTATCAATATAACATGATGGCAAGGCAGCATATATCAATGCTAAATAATATTTTTGTATAACAGCATCTTTCTAAAGTAAGTAAACATATAGACAGTCAAAGTACATTTCGAAGATAATTAGAGTTATAGTACCGAATGGCTACCTCAGAGAGATCATGTAATATCTAAATTTGTCAACACATATAGAATCTACAAATTGTAGAAATTTCAATACAACATTTTCAATACAACCACAAAGTGGGCTACACTCACTCAATAAAATATTATTTGATGTTCAATATCCATCGTAATGTGCATCTAGAACTTGTTATCAAATAATTAAAATAAACAACGACGAAAATTATGTAAAATATGAATCGATAGACATACATTGCAAAGTTGAGATGCAAAGAAGATTAAAATTATAGAAAAATATAGAAAATATTTTATCTGAAATAATGGTGAATTTAGCATGATTACTTGTTCTCTCAATAAGCTTATTATAAGACATCGTAAAAAATAGTGCGGCACATTATTTTATCAAAAAAATAAACGAATTTTTATATATTTTCAAGTATAGTTTTTTAAACAAAAAATAGAACGTAAAAAAGTAGAAAAATTTTGAATTTATAATGAATTGTTTTCTACAATAATCGGTGCCGATGTTTGTTTGTCTGTGACAATAGACAATAATTCACGATAAGTTGGTATTAATTTTCTGAAAAGAAAAGATTAAATAATATATGGAGGTTACGAAAAAAAAGAGAGTAATATACATACCTGTTGATAGAGCCATCGGTATAACGTTGAAAACGATAAATTAACTTTTGTGATAATTCTAATTCGATTAATCGACATTCATATTCAAATTCTTTTATTTTCAATTCTGTTAATGCTTCAAGTTGACTGAATTTTTGATAGGATATCATCATGTTTGTTTGTGAATTCAGATAACGAGAAGAAGATTTTTTAGCAATATCTAAATGAATATATTATTAATCACATTTATTTTCGTTGTTGTACGAAAAATACTCACGTTTGATATTATATTTATCATTCATTGATGGAAATAATTCGTTATCATGAGTAAGATGATGTTTCTAGATAAAAGAATAGATATGTGTTGTCATAAATAAACTAATTCATACATACCGAAATAAGAATATTAACATCATATTTGAAATAAGATCGATAATATTCCATGTAATATTTTAGTGTCATTAAACATTTAATTCCATTGAGCAAATTATCATCACTTTTACCTATATATCAGAAAGAATTGATTTTTTAAATATCAAAGATAACAAGAGTTGTACGTACACGATTGTAACAAATATTGAAGAATTAATCTTAATTTGACGGCCAAACATATCAGTGATTGTATGTCTGGTGCACGTAGAGAATCGATATTATTGGATTTATAGATCTAGAATAGTCAATTTTAGATTATGGAATAGTATTTATTCTATGATCTACCTGATTCTGTACACGTTTTAAAAATTGTGGTGGCTCTTTCTTCAAAGATCGTTCATGCTCTTGTTTTAATTTTGATCGATAAATTTGATTTTGTTTCCATAATTTTCGTAATGGTTTTATTAATGAACAATTTAATTCTGACAAACTGTAAAATGAATAATATCCAAAACATAGCTATAAACGTTTTTAAAAGACAATCATCTCTTACTTCGTAGCGTCAGTATCATCAAGCTTTTCGTCGATTGACGGAACATCTTGGTAGAAATTTTGTTTCGTTTCCACTGGTATTGTTAGTAAATCATTAGATGGGAATGACTGTAGCGGAGCACAGTTTGAGTTTTGTACAGGTGCTTGATATGTTTCTTTTAATAGGCCATGATTGTCTTTAATTGCCGTACTTTCTCGATTAATTGATTGACTTGTATTACTCCTGCTAAGGGTGATTGTCGAAGAAGCTGGTAATTGTTGTCGTCGTTGTTGACTCAATGAACGTCTTCGTTCACTCGTTAACGTTGGCGTATGTGTACGACTATTACGACGTTTATTTTCTGGTACAGTGCGAAATGGTGCTTTCATATGTGCAGGAGTATATTTTCGAATATGTTGATTTGAAGCCTGTGGTGGTGGTGGTACTGATAACGGTACAGGCGATACCGTCTGTTGCACTTGACGAGCCTCAGATTTAGATGTTGTCACCGTTTTTTCTTTGTCTTCATTCGTTTTTCTTTGTTTATCACCAGTCTACACGATAATTCGACATTTAATTAAGAGATGCAAATGTATGGCATTTTCAATTCTTTTCGTACCTTAACTTACTTTACTTTCAATAACACGTTTTGCTTTATCAATTATATTTTCCGCTAATCGCAGTTCTTCAATTTCTTCAGGCTGAATTTCTTAACAAAGATGAGAACAAAAGTATTGAGTGTTAATGAGAAAATTGAGTGATTTCAACAATATACCTGGCATTATTTCTTCTTTTTTCCTTGGCACAGGTTTTTTAAAAGTATCTTCGATAAATTTTGGTAGCATCCGCCTATATAATATCACTCATAGATAGACAATAATAGTTTTATAAAAAAACTTTTCTTTGCTTACTGTTTATGAAGTGATCTACGTAAATCATCAGTAACAAGTAACAATATCTGTGTAAACTTGTCTAGTAGTCGAATACGTTGAATCATTTCGGAAAAATTGACTATTTCATCATTAGTCATTGGTGAGATGTTTGACATCAATTTTGCATAATAAAATAAAATCTAGAATAGAACAAGATTGGATACAAATGTGAACACCGTTAAATTTTCGTCAAATTTTAGAAGAAAAAAAAAACTCAAAAAATATGCAGAGAATTTTATCATTTAAGTTATAAACAACAAAATTGTCTCAACAATAACAATAACAACAGCAAAAAACTAACTATAGTTGCTAAACATGAAAACTAACTAGTGATTTCTATATAAGAAAAGAAAAATACGGAGTTTGGTTTCAATAAAAAACAAAAGACTAGAAAACAAGAAATCAAATGTAAACGACATATCAGGCTTATGAATACAATTTGTACGGCACAATATAATAATTGACCGGATCTCATAACCAACGTTTTAATCTCCAGCTATTTATTATTATAAGATATTCAAAAATTGTGTATTTCCAAAAAAGCTGCAAATTCAGCTGACAATTTTGCTTAGTTATAAAATCAGTTTGTATTGATAATATTTGTTTAAATTTCATTATTATATTCTTGTGCCGACACACACAATGGTAAAGATTTGTATATATTGAATCTATCTCGTATGATCGATTTTATTTTATTTAACTACAAACAAATACAAATTCATTTTTATTCTTTCAATTTATTCGATCTCATTTTACTTATTATTCTGATATCATGTCAATCATGTCAAATTCATTAGGAAACAAAATTTGACTCAAGTCTTTAACAGTTCAGTGTATTTTTTTTTGTACAGTTTTTTCCATCTGTTAGTTTCATTTGCAAAATAAATACAAGAATCAAGCTGTTGACTCGAAAAATCACACACGAACTAACACTTTCATGCCGGTATACCAGCGTCTCTTTATGTTCTTTGTGATGATACTCAAGATATTTTTGTGATAAAGAATTCATAACGCCACCGAAATGAATTTTTAAAATCTAAGAATTTCAAAATGTTTGTAACTCAATGTGCACTACAAACTGGTAAACTTCGAGGTCAAGTTGTTGAGTGGGCCCCTTTGAACTAACAGTTTTTTATTTCTTTGAATCCCCTAATGGATAGCTAATTTTCTTGCAGAAGATGCGTCTGGAGAAAATATATGGATTGTTTTATTATAAAATATAGCAGAAGTATTTTTCAGCAAATTTAATTTTTTCTTAAAGCTGAAGATGGAACGATTAGCTACACCATAGCAGATCTGATGCTGTCTCTTTGATCTTGTGTATAAAAAAACTTTTTCTATGTCCCGTTTTATATCGTAAACAGAGTGATTTTATCGGAAACAGATGGGAAAAGGTGGAAGACTATGATCCTTTCTCTCGGCCATTGAAGAAAGTTATTAAACTTTCCGCCTTTAGATATAATCGACATGTTGATTTCTATCATAGTAAAAGAATGAGAACAAAAATGGCGTTCTTTTGAAAGGAGTTATGAGAATTCTCACGCAATGATACGAAACACCTGTCTGAAAATGACAATTTTATTCAGGTTACGGGTTGTAGTTAATTATAAGCAGAAGATAGAGAATTTCAACAAGCACGAAAGTAAAGCTGACAAAGTCGGTTTTCAGTTAGAAAGGTGACTGCTTCTTAGAGGTTTGTCTAACTCTTCACGTTTACATTTTGTAACAAAAACTCTTAATACGTTTTCTGTGGAGATTCTGAAGATGTATCTCATCTCTGCACTAGTTACAGCTGGTCCGAATCCTATTCAGATGTTTAATTTATTCTTAATGTTCTCTTATTAATTTGTCATAATAGCCACATTAATTCGAGAATATCAAATGAATTGTCTTCAAATATCGGCCAACGGTAGACCGAAACTAACATTTTTTGTTAAAAAGTGCCATCCTATTTCATTCATTTCTAACGCGACCATAGTGTTCGAAAATATGATACATCAAAATATTTTACCTTTTTGTCAACAAATAATTTCTTTTTCTCTTTTCAATTTGACTTTCGTCGTCATCGCTCTGTTAGTGAAATATTAATTTTTGTTACCGACAAACTCTTCAAGTATTTGAATAATCGCAGGAAAGTGGTTGGTGTATCTTTTGATTCTGAGATTGCTTTTGATCGTGTTCCTCATGAAGTTCTGTTACAAAAAATATCCCGTGTTGGTGTATCTGACTCTTTTTTTATGGTTTAAATCTCATCGCTCAGCTTGTATCCAAACGGTTAAGGTAGGCTCTTCATCATCTACCAAATATTTAAAATAATAGTACAGCACTTTTAGTTTAGCTGATATCTTTGCTGTATAGTCCAGTTCAGTTTCGAGAGTAGCTATCTTATGTGTAATACACTTCGATCATATTAGCTAGAGTATAAACTGAATTATAATAAAGATACAAATAATCTTGCAATTAAAACTAAATCACTTATAACTGACTCAGTATAATCTACGTATTATTGGATTCCGATATGAGTTACACACAAACAAGTCATCAGATGGATCCTGAACAGCAACAACTATCTCTTAGTGTATTAATTGACCTTGAATTATCTAAATTATGAATAGATGTCTCTAGTAATCTTCAATTGAATAGTGGAGTAATTATCATTGCAAGTATGCAACAGAAAAATGTCCGATAACTACTACGCTATAGAGTGTTAAGTTAATTTCATTCGGCTTATCAAACAGTCAACAAACTTCAGTGAAACAAAAAACTTATCACTGCAGCAAATATGTCTAGCAATTAGTAATAGTGGCCAATTGTCTGTATTTATGCATTAATTCAATTGACATTGATGTTGAATAAGTCAAATTGAGTATTCGACTAAGATTTAGTGTATATGATGCTAGTTTGCTCAAGTGCCATTTAGACTTTATTTTCATTTAATTTTAAGTAATTCTAATTACAGTTAACTAAATCTTTCAAATATATTTGTATTTTTTCTGTTTTATAACGATTAGTGTTAAACTATAAAGATTTTTATACCTGGAATATTTTGTGCAAACATTCTTATTTGTATGCATGTAAACGTTCTTTACCAGGGAACATTTCCATGTGATAAATTCTCGATTTGATCGAAACATTGTTTTTCGGGTTGATTTTTGACCCTAATAACGAATCTGATGTCCATTTTTTCCCCTATATATTTTCATAGTGCCATCCTTCAGTAATCGGATTTGCAGAGCATGACTCTAATAGCATGATTCTAATATGACCAGTTTGTAGAACACGTCGAATTACCTACGAAGATTGTTTTAAGGCTCAAGTTTTCGTAGAAGTAAAAAATTCTTATCTGAACTTTTCTGACTTTTATGCCGAGTTTTGCGACTTTGTAAAAGCTTGATCTATTCTTTCTTAGTAGGTAACTCGACATGCTCTACAAACTGCTCATACTAGAATATTTTCTCTGCAAATCCGATTACTGAAAGACGGCACTATGAAACTATATGGGAAAAAATGGACATCAGATTCGTGATTACAGTAAAAATAAACCCGAAAAACAACGTTTCGATCAAATCGGGGATTTATTACATGAGAAAACTCCTTGGTTAGTTAATGGTTAAATGATATAAATCATTAGTTACCGTTATTTGTAGCAATAATATGTCGAGAAAATGTATAAATTTAGAATAGTATAAATTGAATGAAAGAGTAATTGATTGTTTGGAACCAATTAACGATCAATTTAAACGTTCATTTACGTCCAAAGACAAATACAACATAAAACAGTAACATGATATAGCATCTATAGCTACATTTGATTTGGTAAATCTTTCGATAACTATACATTGGATAATCTAAAATCAGAACGAGTTGAACACACACTTAGAAGTTAAATGCAGACTAACAAACATGCAGAAGCTCTGACACCGATTACGTACAACAAAGTAAATTAACATTTCTCAATCAATCTAGCAAAAAATTACCTTTCCTTTTCTGCATAAAGTAATGAATTTGAAGTATTGTGCATTCATTGATTTAATCAAACTGAAGTACAAAGAGCTCATAAAAAATTCAAAAATTGTTTCAGTACACACGCATACATATATTTATTATATCAATCAGGCACAGAATTTCATCGTGTATATGATCTGTGGGTTCTTTCATTACGTATGCCAAAAAGAGCATCTCTATATTTTTAAAATTTTTCAAACGATGTGTAAGAACAAAAGTAAATCACAACAACAACAACAACATACTATAAAAAAAATAACATATTCCTAGACTAGGAAAAGATAAACCGTTTCTGAAAACGGTCTGACAAAGAATATTTTAACAAAGAGCATTTTTTATACAATAAAAAACAACAAGAAAAAACTGATTGATAAAGAAAGAACGTTTTAATACGTCGTTCAATCTATCTCACTGCAAGACTCTTTAAGATCAACGATATTTTTTTATCACTATAACGTTTCTCTAACGAGTATTCTGTCATTGTTTAGAAAAACACTAGTCTCACTTGTCCAAATAGATCATCTTGCTCAGCACGTCCTGATCATAATTTAGACGTAAATTGTCTTGGATCTATCACGCAGAAGTACTAATAGTTTTATTTTTCATCCACATTGATCGTATAGGTGAAAATGAAGTGTGTGTAGGAGAGCGAGAACGGGAAGATGATGGAACTCGTTTTAGTCTGTTATTTTCAAGTTTTTTCAAACGTCGGCGTTCTTTCTTTTTCTTTTTTCTTTGCCGTTTTTCGCGTGATATAGGTGACAATGAACGATTTGATGATGATGATAGACAACGAGATCGATGATGATGGTGATGATGATGATGCGAACGATCGTCATCTTTTAGATCACTGTTATTTGTTTTATTATCTTCACCATTCTGTTCTGTTGGTGAACGACTACGATGCTTAAACCTTTTATGATGTTTATGCTTCTTTCGTTTTTTTTCATGATGTCTTTTTCGTTTCTCGCCAACAATTTGTTGTTGTTCATCCATCGAATGTGATATGTCATTCTCTACTCCTTGTTGATCATTACCGGGTTTTATTAATTCGAATTGAGCATCAACTCTACTTACGATCGATGTTTCCTCCAAAACCAGTTCTTGTTTCTCTTTAATATCATCAATTCTTTTCTCAACCGATAAAAAATCTGGTGATGAAGAAGATGAGTCACCGTCGTTATAATAATGTTGAGATATTGATTTTAGTCCGTTCAGCTTAGCATGTCCATTTCCGTTTAGTAATGATGGTATTTTAGTCGGTGATGTTTTAATGATAATTTTCAGTGGAGAAGATGTCGACTGAACAGTTGATGTTACGAACGTTGCCGAGCATGAAGTGTGTCCATTTAATTTCTTCGATGATATTTCTTCATTCGATATATTTGTCGTTGAGGATGATTTAAGCGATTTAATAACGTGAGATGGTGTTGTATTCGATGTAGATACATCTGCAGACTGTTGAGACGTAATAGAAGACACACAATTCAAATTTGGAGATGAAGATGTTTGTGGAGACTGTTGCTAAGTAAGAAAAGCGACTTACGCTAGTTATATTGAAATATAAACGCTGGTGTACTGGCCAAAATTACAGGTTCGGTTATTTTTAATTTTTCTCCTCAACCATAATAGCTAGAGCAAATGTCAAAAAAGATTTGAACAACTGAAAGAGTTTATAATCAGGTGAAATGTATATGAAAATTCCTGCAAACCAGGTCTGTGGAAAATCAAGATTTTAGAAAATCCTAAAAAATCAAGTCCGTGATTCTAACGGAAACTGTTTGTAAATAGCCCATTCGTGTAGAGCAAACATTTCTGAACAATACTAGACATCGCCGAACCCTCTACAACGTTTTTCATCGAACTGCATTCAATTTACGAAAGATCCCTCGGTCATTTTCACTATCAATTTTGCTCTTTTTCTAGCGATTTTGCTGATTGTGACGCGGAAGGGCCTTTCGTAAATTGAATGCAGTTCGATGAAAAACGTTGTAGAGGGTTCGGCGATGTCTAGTATTGTTCAGAAATGTTTGCTCTACACGAATGGGCTATTTACAAACAGTTTCCGTTAGAATCACGGACTTGATTTTTTAGGATTTTCTAAAATCTTGATTTTCCACAGACCTGGTTTGCAGGAATTTTCATATACATTTCACCTGATTATAAACTCTTTCAGTTGTTCAAATCTTTTTTGACATTTGCTCTAGCTATTATGGTTGAGGAGAAAAATTAAAAATACAGGTGAACCTGTAATTTTGGCCGGTACTGTATAATTAACTTACTTTATTCAAATATGATATTTTTTTTTGAATTTTTATAACAATTGGTGGGCGATTACCATTTGCTATTGAACCATTAGTCTTGACTAGCTGATTACTATTGGAATTTTGTGCAATTACAGATGGTTTCTTGAACGGTGCTTTGATGACATTATCACTTGCCTGCTCTGTCAGAGAATTTTGAGCATTAACTGAAAAAGAAAAGATAAGATTAATTTAGGCACGCCAATGAATAGACAGTCATTTGCATTGGAAAATAAATGAACTTTTTAAAGATCTGAGAGTAATTAACACTTTTAAGTTCAATTTTCTATGGCTTGTTTTCGGTTATTGCTACTACTTATTTATACTGATTCGTGCACTATTAAGATGGAATCAATGCTTACTCATTTTGAAAGCAGTCAACGACAAAGCAGTTGATAACTTACACATACAATATTCACCCACTTCGTACAATTCTTGTGAAGTTAATATCTAACCTTGTTTTGGAATTTTTTTAGATGGAACTTGTAATGAGGTATAAAATGGCATTGTATTCCCATTTGTTTTTCCATTCTGCATGACTAATTTACTTGTTGCTATTTTTATTCCATTCGTTATTCCATTACCATTACCACTGTGTTGTTGCTGCGTTTCGTTCATATAACACAGTATATATGCTCCATATTGATTTAATACTTCATTTGTTTGACATTTGATCATGGACGTATCGTCAGCTTTATACCATAAATTATTTGGTGATCGTACGTAAGCATAATAATGGCCACTATGCATTGATGAGCCAACATGCACGAGAACAGCGTACAAACGATAATCTGATGTTTGTTGTTTAATTGTTTGTTGCGTTTCTTCACTCAGATATGGATAAACATTAAGATGTTCTGCATAACGTACTAAATGTGATAGTTTATGTGAATTTTTTCCGAATTCAAAACGTTTTAAATTAATTAATAATATTTTTGGAGTTTTATGTAACGTATATCGTTTTGTTGCTTGAACTAATATCTTACATTTGATACAACGATATAAATTTTCCCCCGATAATGTTTCTTTACATATAAATTGTTGTAACGATTGTTGTAATTCGTATCGATTTCGGACACTAACAATCCACATATAATGAACTTCATACGTGTCCGATGTCTGATGACAACGACCACATTGTACACGTGAACGTAATACAAGTCCAAATAGATCATGTAAAATAGTTTGACTATGACACAATTTATCATAGTTTATACCCGATGATGGTAATAGACGTTCGGGTGGTTGTGATGAACGTAAACAACTGTCAACAATTTTATCTAATAAACAAATTAAAAATTCACTGGCATCCTCTTGTCGACCTTGTTTGAACGTTGTCGAAATGTCTTTTATACGTCTTACAATTAACGTTGGCGCAACAGCTTGTGAGGAAAATGTGTTGTTATTTGTTGTTGATATCCCGTTACGATGAATCAATTTAATAACATGTTCTGCCTCACAAAATAAACAAAATTGTTTTTCAGCTTTAACACGACCTTTCAAAACAAAAATAAAAATCTTGTAGTAATATGAGCTAGGGAAGATAGTTTTGATTCGAACAGATCTAAACCAAAACAACTTACATCCACTGAAATGAGAATTATTTATTAACCATTGGACCAACGGTGGACTAAAAATGAAAAAATTGTGATAATCTCAAGAGGTAAGCAATTGAAGAGATGTAAGTGGCATAATTGAAATAGTTTATCAACTCTTTACCAGTTAGCCAAAATTTGTAGTGATGCGTTTATAAAACAAGTATTTCCTAAATTGACTAAACCAGACCCACGCTCATGCAATAATTTCCATTCCGTTAACGGTTCCATGGATAACGATGTCAGTGAAGACATAGAGGATTGTACGGAGGACAGAGATTTTGACGGAGAATAATCGGACGATGACGCTTGCGATGAAACTGATATGTCGGAAGATCCATTGGACAATTGTTCTGTAAAACCAAAGCAAAAACAATTTTTTTATGCGATAAAAACTTTTTAAATAATCATCAATGGGAGAGATCTTTATTTTCTTAAGAATTCAGAAATTACTGAAGAATTTAGCGAAAGAACGGGATCGTATTACGAAAAGTCTTATGTCAGGCTGAAGTTTTACCGTATTACAAAAAACTTAAGTCAAAGGGTGACTTAAGTCATGGGAAATGTAGTCTTAAAGTTAAGACCGAAAACTTAAGTCAGACGTAAGTTATTGACGCATTTTTCAAATACTTCAGACATTTAACGATACGAATCGACCAAACTTTTAAAGAATGTTTAGAGAATAAATATTTCTCTATTTTGCGGGTTTTTGTCTCCAATTTCTCACTGTTGTCAACGACTTTCGAAAAATAAACAAATCACCGACTGAAGTCTTTTCGTAATACGGTGCAGGTCCCCAGACTTAAGTTGATCTTAAACTTATATCACGGCTTAAGTCGACGACTTAAGGTTTTTTTATAATAGGCCTCCCAAAGTAACTTTTTTGATCGTGAGCGTATAAAAGTATTATTAAATAACAATAGAAGAAAATTCAAAGAATTGAGCTTTTTCCAATCTAAAATATGTTGGCTTTTGACAAAATCGAGATGTTTGACTAATCTATCGAGGATGGTAGGGTTAAAGTGAGCAGACGTGAACAGTATTTGGATAAATGTAAGCCCACTGGGGATTGTGAAAGATATTTGCTACGATCACCCCAACAAAATAAAGTCACTTTCAAAAAGGAAATATCGTACGTGAGTTTGTGTTGTTAAATGCTGTCAAAACAACGTTATTATTTGATGGCATAGCAATTTCTTCTTTAACTTTGCTACCGATAGTATTTGTATATAAACGACGAAATTTATCTAATGGATTTTTTGTATATTTTTTGAATACTAATTTGTGGTTTAATATTGAATGACGTTTATGTTCAACACCAATTAATTGATTCGTGAACGATGTGAAACGTGAACATAAATAACGTTCACACACTTTACCCAAATCTTCTGGCATAACCTAAATGAATAGACATAAAAAGATACAGTTGTTCTAGTCATTTTTACATTAAGCAATTTCATCTATTAATAAACTATTGATCTGTAAATATTATAATTTTTGTCATTTATTATTTTTACCTATCTGAGATAATAATGTGGTTTAACAATAGCTCGAATTTTTCTAAAGGAATAAATAATAGAAACGTTTTTGTCGACGGGGACACAATTTTTTGTAAAAAAAAACAATGAACTTTTTTTTACAAGAAAAATAACGGTACTTACAAATTCGACTGGATTTTAGTATATGCCATAAGTCTTCACACTATATCTAAAACACACGTAAACAAGAATACGTAAATTGTACAATCGAAAAAGATAAAAGGAACTAGTGGTGTTTCAGACGAAATACTGACAGAATCGTGTCTCTCATCCTCTCTCCTGTCTTCAATTAGAATTATCTTCAACAGAAATGCAGAGTTTCACTTACATTTTTGATAGCGATAAATGAGTTCGAAATCAATTAAACTCCTTACTCATTCGAACATTTTTTGATAAAGAGCATACTTTTCTTTTACCAAGAAGACTCTATCAAGGTCAAAAAAGCCTCAAAGGCATAGCATGTCGCACCAGTGGAACTTGTTGACCCATTACTATTAAATTCCTCTCCTTTTCGTTTTAATATCAAAAACCTTTCGAAGCCTATAGTTTGTGCACAATATGGTAAGGATAGTGCCAAAAATTTTCTGTATTCGTACAATATCAAGTATAATGCCGTTCTTATAAAAGAATTTAAAGAAAATTTTTTCCACTATGCTATTTTACGCAGCACAGAAAAAAAAGATCAGCCATTACTAAGCTGCCACTGACACTCGCGAGAAGATAAATGTGATTAGAGAGGTCAGAATAGTAGTAAATACAATTTCTGTATTTTAGCCTTATGAGTAACTAAAGCTTTTCGGAGGATCGATCCATCAGAGGTAATCCATTAACTATAGTTAATGTTTGTATGCCTACCTGTGACACCACTATCTTCATTGCCTGAAATAGAAGCCAATTAAAGAAGAAATATTTAATTGTTTAGTTTTACAACCGCTTATCAGTTAGTAGAAACTCAAACAGAATTCATTCTGGCAGAATCAAAAGAAGATACCACGACCCTTCTCGAGGTTCTCTTCAGATGGTTTCCTTCGAGAAAGACAGTTAAAGCACCTAATGGTTCGATCTTGGGAAGTGGTCACCCACTATAAAATAGAGGTTTGTGACGTAGTGTCTTTCTCTATTGTGTCAAAATTACAATTAGTACGAGGATGGGTGACGACTTCCCAAGATCGAACCATAAGTATAGAGTGATTTTCACATTTGTCTCAACGTTTCTTGAGTGAACAATAAAAGTATGTAAGAAACGAATTCATATTAAACTGAAACAACAACTTGAATGAGAGTGTTTGTATCAAATCAAATGAGCTAGTAAATTGTAGTGAACAACAATCGCTAAGAGCTTGGAAATCTGCTCCAGACTTCAAACTATGAGTATAGAATGCGAATTTAAACTCGGAAATGCTTGGATTCGTAAATACATTGTTACTTGTTATATAATCTTTCAGAGGTTCAATATTAGTAAGAAGAAACAAATATTTTTGGACTATAAACATTTTCAACGAATTACTAGAAGTGACAAAAAAAAAAGATTAAAGCAAGCTGTATGAGCACTGTTTGAAAAAACTGGCTACTTCTGACTCGAACATTGTTTAAAACATTGGTTAGCGGATTGTGCTAAGGTATACAAAGAGTGCGGGTGAATAAATATCTAACTTTTTTGTTATATAAGAAGCGAATATCTTATAACATTTCCATCTTATATAGACTTAAATGTACGCAAAATAGATAAAATTTAATAAGTTTTTCTCTTACTTTTTCCTAAAATCTTTGAAAATTTGCTCAATAATGTTTATTTTCTACTTTCAGAGATATCTAAATGGATCCATACGGTAGTAGTGACTCATCTCGAGTGTTTAGTTCGCCATATACTCGCTTGGGCATACTGATTCAAAGAATATTGGATCGTGTCACTCCATTCATAGGAGTGCGATGGCTGCTTAATATTGTTCTATTAATATTATTTCTATTGCGTATATTTTTCCTTCAAGGCTTTTACATAATCGCCTATGGCTTAGGAATATTTTTATTAAATCAACTCATTTTATTTTTGACCCCAAAACAAGATCCATCTTTACAAGAATTGGACAATGATGATGGCAATAATGTGCCAATATTGCCGACACGTGCAAACGAAGAATTTCGTCCATTTATGAGACGATTACCAGAGTTTAAATTTTGGTATACATCATTTAAAGCATGCATCATCAGTTTATTACTAACATGTTTTACTATATTTGATGTGCCAGTATTTTGGCCGGTATTAGTCATGTATTTTTTCACATTATTTTTTTTAACAATGAGACAAAGAATTGTTCATATGATTCAATATCGTTATGTACCATTCTCGTATGGAAAAGTACGTTATCAAGGAAAAAATGATGTAACAACATCAATGGGAAATGTGGCAAATAGTGGAATTAAAATATCAGCAAAATGAGACGTAACACAAATAAATCAAATATAAATCTAAGTAGTACACTCTTTTCAACTTTATGAATCACAATCCGGTACTCTTTATATCTTGCTGTTTTAATCATAACATAGCGCAAACTATAAACAAGCTCCTCTCCAAAATACAGAGTACTTAATCTTTTCTTCTCAAATAAGTTTCTATTTCTGATGTAAATCTAAAGAATGTGTCATAGATCCACTTAACAGCCATCTCACGTAAGCGACGACAGACCGTGCCCAAACGCATGTCACTGCATGAGAACGAGACCGTCTTCGAAGGTCGGGTTCGTGGTAAATTGAAGAAGAATGTTGATTCTACTTATATAAAAGTTTGAGCTCTTTATCTTGTATGATTGGTCAAATTTTTCAAAAGTAAATCGAAATTTTATTTTATTTATTTTTTAATGACTAGTTTGAACGAGTTCTGTGACACACATTTGAGCACCGTCTGCCGCCGATTATGTGAAATGGCTGCTAAAGGCTCTTGTTTTCCTAGGAAATTGTTTTTCTTTTAATTGTATGTTTCGTACGAATGAACTCATTTGGAAAAAGTGAAGTGTCATCTCGTGTTTTTTCTCTATATTTTCTGTAAAAAATGTTGGCAATGCTGTGTGCTAGCTTTCCCTTGTCTGTGTAACATTTTCTTTTTGCATATTTACTTATGTCATAATGTGTTGTCCTCTGTTTCAACTGCTCTTGTCTTTTTGGTTGATTATTTATTTATTTATTTATTATTTCGAATATATAATCGATTATTCTTTTTTATTTTTCCTCCACCACGAAAAACTAAGGAAAATACTGATGAGCAATAGTCAATTTTTTGCTCTAATAGCGTGTCGTACTGAAATTCCTCTTGTAAAATAAAGGTTTTTTTTGTGACTGTACAGCTATGTAAGGTTTTGTAGTAAATCGGCTGTTGAGCATCTGCCAAAGCCAGCATAACCAAAACTGAAATTAATTTGTATATATTTCATTTGAAAGCGCTTCAAAACGAATATAGCCTCTTCAAAATTTTTTAGAAGTACTTTAATATGTGATGACAACTCTACGAAGTTTCACAACACAGGTTTTTTCTCTACTTCCTTTGTCTGAGCAAAATAAAAGTGTGAAGGAATGGCGCGGGAGTCCTTTCATCGTTTTGATGTCATATCACAGATATAAAAGAAAACTGCAACCGCGCTGCGAGTTATGCTAACGTAACGCAATCGTGCTCCTGTCAAGGATGAACCAAGAAAGTTGGCTACAGATACAATGAAAAGTTTACTTCTGAAACTAATTTCTAATTATGAAAACTGATATTTAATCAGTATTCTCAATGATTTAGAAAATTCTTTTTTACATGAATAAATAATATTCAACGATGTGAAATGAAAGAGAGAAATAGTGATATATTAAAAGGATTGGTCTCATTTTAATTTTGCCCTGTTTTTTCTCAATCTAATCCACTACTTGTTGTAAGTGCAAAGATAATTTCATTTGCATCACAATTATTTCATGTTTACTATTAATTAAGTTGATGATTGAAGCGAAAGGAGATTTATTGTTTTACTCCAAGAAAAAACTCTTCCCTCTTTCGAGTCAGTTATCTGTGGTGTTGAATTGAACAGCTCTGGGGAAAAAGATCATTTGATCTTCTAATATTTATAGATAATATAAATGGACAATCATGTTAGTTTATGAGAAATCTAGGTTTGATAAACTCATTTGAAATTATTTAAAACTTTTTCATTGGTTTCAGTTTGTTTATTAATATTATTATTTATTATTATGTTTCAAATTATTTTTCACAAAACAGAATAGGATATGTCATGTTGGATAAAAGCTCAAAATACTGATCGAGCTTAAAAGCAAAACCCTTTTTAAACTAATGCTCAAAGTTCGACTTATAGCTTCATAGTGATGCACTTTCGAAGGATTCATTCTGTTCTTGTTTTCGAGTGAGGTATATGCTACAGTAGTTTTTTGGCGGATGCTTTCTAAAATGAGATTGCCTCTATAAAAAAAATGTTTCAAAGAAAAATAAATTTGAATTTTGCTTTTTTCTAGTTCGATGAATATCTATCTATCTATCAATTCTTACTTGCTGATCAAATAGATAAAAGCGATGGAATATCAAATTATATTATTTAAGGAGCACGTTTTATTGTATAATGCGTATGGTCAACAATAGTCGTAAATAATATTGTACAATCGAATCATTTTTAAAGCATTGACGAAGATGTATGTACATAATAAAATTAACAACATTGGTATTATAAAAGTGACATATCTCATTTTGAAGAAATATTCATTTTCAGAAGAATGGTTATTTGAAGATGCATGAAAAGTATTTGAAATACTTTTCAAATACTTACACGTATTTGACACTGATATAATAAGTACAAAAACAGGCATAGGTTTAATTCTTGTAATATGCTGTATTTTTTGCTGTTTTAGTTCAAATTGGATGCGCTGTTTCTATTCTCAATAAACAATTTGAGTAAGTCACATTTAAGTTTTTAAAGACATTTTTGTTGCTAGGAACGGTTCAATCCTTTATCTCTCCTTTAACTCAGTAAAGAAGCTTAGAAAAAGAACGAATAACATTTTCATGCTTCAATGATAACATGTTTTCTTCTTGTCTATATTAAGAAATTGACAGTAAAAATCAGTATTTTGTAAAAAAATAGTGAAAAATCTCAACGATTCTTCGTTTCTTTCACACTAAGTGCGGTTAATACTAGATTGATGTCATAATCGTTCGATTTGATTAGATCAATTAATGAATCATTTTCATTGAGAAAAATACCCATTGTTTTTAAACGATTAACACATTCATCAAGTTTATTTTCAAAATCGTTATCATCGTTTTTTAAATCAGTAGCAGTTGCTTCTATTTGTGTTTTATGCGATGATAAGTTCATTGTATTCAAATTCGGCATTGCAATAGATGGAGTTGTACCCATTGTGTCACTTAAATCATCAACCAATGGTTGATTTTGTGTCGAAGTTGTTGTAGTGGTAGTTTGAGTTGTTGTTGGCGATTGTGAAACAAGAGACATCGATGATAATTTATGTATACGATCTAAATGTTCAGCAATCGATGTTAATGGTGATACTATGCATGGTGGAATAAATGAAAATGGTGTATACTGAACATCGGGATAGGTATCATGTGATGACGGTGACATTCTTGGATGTGTATAACAATAATATGGATGTGATGTGGTCAATGGACGTGGTTGTTTCGATGATGAACTACTTTTTAACGAACGACGTCGTTCGTGCTGTCGAGTTAAACATGTTTTACATAATGTTTTATGATGTATTTTATAGGATTCACCACGAATAATTTCCTTATGGCAATAATCACAGTGTGATGGAATTAATGATTGAATTGAATTTGGTACAACGAATATTTTTAATAAGTATTCTTTCTTTGTTGCTATTGCACATTTTAATTCTTCGTCCGTTGAAAATGTAATATGTTCATTTTCATTGTCAATATATTGCAATTTAAAACCATTTATTTGGATGTTCGGATTGTAAGTAATTACTTTTGTTACCAATTCACGATAAATACTGCTGGATGATGTTATATCGATCTATGTGGAAAAAAAAGATAGTATTCAAATATAACAGTAATGATTTTCAAAATGAAATGATATCAAGCTTTAGGAACACTAAAATGGAGACTTGATAAATGTTACTATTGACTGACATTCATCTAAATCTGTGAATGTCAGCATTTTTGAAAGAAAATAGATGCTTACTGAAAATCGACGAATTTCGTCCTGAGAATCATTTATGCCTATATAATAGGCTTTAAAAAATATTAAATCTTCTTCAATGATTGTTGATGTTGTCATTGTTTGATGTTCGAATTTCGTTCCTTGTGTCAGTCATAATCTATCTACAAAATAAAAATGTAAGGGAGATTAAAATGAAAAAAATGCACTTCAGCTGTTTTTCTGACTAATTCTGTTATATTTTTCTATTTCTTCTCTTTTTTTGCTCTTTCTGTAAATTTGTTTTGAGATAGCAAGGTTCTGACGCACTTTCTTTCGTTTTTTTGCGTAAAAAATCATACCTTTATTTCATGATACGTAAAAAATAATCATCAAGTCTGTATTTCAACGTTGTTTTTATTTCATTCTCGTTAGTAAATACAGATGTTTCAGTATTCCGCTCACTTGCTCTTAAATATCAGCGACCAGTCAATAATAGCAGATTCTAAGCTTAAATAGGTAGGTTATCTAATCATATTGACTTCCAGACTTTGGTTTAGCTAAAGTCTAATTACGGCGAAGACATTTTCACTTTAATCAGAATATCTCCTGAAACTCAAAAGACGTTTTTCTATCACTCAGTTACATTTTTCAAGAATAGTGATGGAAAATATTATAATAAAAATAACCGTTCAATATCACAAATTTTCTATTTGCCATTTTCTTTAATCAAACTCAATAATTACTTTTTTCGCTAAACTTTTATTAAATATAAATGAATGAACAAGAATGTTTTTTTTTTTGCAGCATAAAAAATATCTCTAAGAGAAATGTCGTGGCATAAATAAATGCTGAAATAAGACAAAAGCCGAGTGTTTATTAAATAAATCCTTGTTTAACAAGTTTATATGGTATTGAAATTTAATTTTTATAATTTCTTGGATTAATAGCATCCAACACCTGGTTGAGATCTCCTTCTTTGGAACGTACTAATTCTGTAAGAACACCATTGGTATCAACAAAACCCATTGCTTTCATACACTCGACACATTCATCAATTTGCTTGTCCATCGTGTTTATTTTTGGCGGCGGCGGTGCTGAAGTCGATGATTGTGTAGCTCTAAAGGCGTTAAGAATTGTTGAAATTGAAGCATTATTACCATTGTTATTATTTGCTGGTAATTCAGGATAAACCGATGTTTTTGGGACAGCACTTGGTTCATGCAGGGCTGCACTAACAGATTCCATAGGTGTTGAGATTGATTCTGTTAGTTTTGTCAATGGAACGCTTTCATTTTCTGTTTGCATTTCTTTACTATCATTAACAGCACTTTGTGGATGTTCTTGTTGTTGCGATTGAGTTGGTTGATCATCAGTAGCTGTAGGTTGTTGTTGTTGTTGTTTTGTATGCTCATCAACAGAATAATCGCAATCAATGCCGAATGGTGAGAGTGCTTGTTGTAGAAACTTTCCAACATTTTCAAGGTAATGTTTTGAATTTGTTATGTGATTCTGGCTATTTTCTTTTAGGTTGTTGAAATGTTGTTGCATATGTGTTCGAAGATGAACGGCACTTTCAGCATTTGGCATCCACTGAGGTAATTGATTTTGTATATATTCAAAAAATTGTGGATCGGGGATAAATGGAAATGGTGGTGTTGGGGTACCTGATGTTTGATTTGTTGTTGGAGTATCTCTGGTTGACGATCGTTGTTGTTGATGATGATTCCAAAATCGCCGACGGTGATGCGGATGTTGTGAACTGTGCCCACCATCATTTTGACCACCAAAATGACGTCTTCCTTGATGACAGTATGGATGGTAATAGGAAGAACCACTAGCGTTGTTACCTGGTTTTGTTATTTTAAGCGTAATATGTTCAGAATGAATACCTTTATCGGAACATTGTTCACACAAATCATAATTGGGACAAACAAAACATTTGTAACGTATACCAATAACAGGACCATTGCATCCATCACATACGACACCAACATGACATTCACCATCTGATCTTGTATTATTAGTAGTAACTCTTCCAGGTACTGCCGTGCTTGTTGCTGTTGATTCTCTTTGTTGTTGAGACGAAGCATTTGGTGTAACAAATATTTTCAGTGTTGAACCTTTATTTGTTGCTATAGCTGAATGCAGTTCATCATTTGAACTGAATGTAATACGTTCATTTTCATCATCAACATATTGTAATGTGAAACCATTTAATTGTATATCAGGATTAAATGTAGCAACCTTTGTCGTTAAATCACGATAAACGTCATTTCCTGGCGAAATATCAATCTAAATACAAAAACATTTGTCAGAAAATATCCTCTTTTCAAAATTATCAATAAACAATTAATCTATCAGTACTCCGTAAGAGACAAATCCATATGAATAGGGCTCCTTCATAACTGAGACACTTTTTTGTAAGCTTATTAATTAGATTCGGAGAGTGGTCTCAATCTGGAATAGAGAATTTGTTCTTTTGTACAAAATGAAATACTTTGTACACTTTTTATAATTTCGTATCATGCCCTAATTTGGAAGGATTACCCGTTGTAGGTAGCGAGACAAACTGAAGCATTTTTTATAACCGCTGCTAAAAGCGCATCCATTTCTGAAATTGATCCTAAAGCGACATTGTTAAATTGCATAAGACTATAAATATGAAGGGTAGTATCATCTTGAAATACAGTATCTCAGTTCGATTTTGTTTACAAATCCTATGTCTATAACTCTTCATTTTTCTCGTATCAAAACTGAAGAAACCCAGGATCGTTTATTATTTGGAAAATTATTTAAATAAAACTTTGGATTTAGAAGCTTATCAAGCAATACTTTCATTATGTCACCGTTATATGATTGTGCTAGATAAGAATCGTAATGTGAAAGATGATGACAAGTATGCGCCTAAAACATGATTGTTCTGTTTGTTGTGTTCTGTTATGTTGGGATATTTTTTTAAATGGTATACAGCGTACAAAGTGTTTCGTTTTGTATAAAAGAATAAATTCTTTATTCCAGATTAAGACCACTCTCTGAATCTAACTAATAAGCATAAAAAGTGGTCTCAATCGTGAAGCCTCGTAGAGAATATTTCGCGGAGTCATTATGAAATATTGTAAACTTACCGTAAAGCGGCGTATTTCAGCTTGAGCTTGGTTTGAATTTGTATAATAAGCTTTAATATAAACCAAGGACGTCATTTTGTACTATGAACAATTGTATGTATGTATATGTATATATAGGTGAGCTTCTGCAATAAGGTGCGTCAAAGGTACAAGAGCAAATAACAGAATGAAACTACGACTAAGTATAAACGCAGTTTATATATAAAATACGACAAGCATGTGATTCAAGAAGAGGAACGATGGAGAAGGGAAAAGAACAAACATACTGAGTACACGAACAAGATGAAGAAACAGAAAAGAAAAAAAATGCTTTTTCGCCCCTTTTCCCCATGTTGCTACATGAAGAAAAACATCAATCATACAGTAACTTAACCGATTGTTTCCCCCAAGGAAAAAGAAAAAAAAATGCCTGTTCATATGTGACGGGGCGAAAAGAAAAATATATGATTTTGATGGAGATACTGTTTTTCCATTTTAATACACTGCACAAATACGTCTATAGAGTAAGTTAGAGTAATTCTGGACAGCCTCTTTGATTTTCACAGTATTTTAAGCGTAGCGGAAGCATTTTTACTCGAGAAAAAAACAACACTTCACAGGTAGATAGACCGAACAGTTTTATAAACATTTAATTAAAACCTTCATTGACAATCAATTGATTCTAATTAAATTTTTCTTTTGATTGTAATGGACGAAAGACCGTTCAAAATAACAGTATTCATATTCTCTACAGGAATCAGTGAAAATAGACTTTTTTTTCCGGTTTTTACATATATGATAGAGCTCATGATTCTGAACAATTGTGCCGTTTAGCATAGTACAATTGTGCACGTTTAGTAGTATACCATCTGTTAGGCAAATAATTCAATATTCTAAATTAAAATTGATCCATAAAATCATACACAATTAGTCTCCTTCCTTCCTGAGAAGTCTAATTACGTTAAAAAGAGACACAAATACTAGACAGACGGGCCACTATGTACCAATAGATATAGTTCCTCCAACATCCAACACATCTTTAGATAGGTCAGTACTAGCGAACGTTATACATGACTGGAACAAACTGCCTTACGAAATGCGATCTATCACAGCTACTGAGAACTTCTCTATGAAATTGAAAAGTTTCCTAAGTTTTTCATCTCGGCCACCAGTTTGGTACAATGTAGGAAGTCGGATAAACATTATCCATCTGACCCGTATACGCCTAGGCTTTAGCTTTCTATTAACAGACCAATATAAATGTCACTTCGTTACGACACCAAATTGTAGTCCTTATAATAAGTCTGAAACAGCTGAGCATTACTTTTTAAAATGCCTTCGATTTGTCCAGGAAAGATCTATCTTGTTGAATCGTATAAAATCGATTACCGCATTACCACAAACTACTGGACTCATTCTAAAAGAGTCAATTAATCTCACCCTAGAGCAAAAGCATCCTTATCGTAAACAATGTCCATAAATACATAGTTGACACTAAAAGTTTCACTTAACATTCTTTACTTCTTGTGCTACTCTATTTATTGTTATATGCAGAAAGGAAAAGTTTTTTGTATATTACAATCCTCGTTAAATAAATTAAACTAACTACCCCATTTGGGGTAATTATGGACATTTGATAGGAACTCTCTGGAAATTTATGAGTACTAATTAATCTTATTTGTAGATAGAATAACAAACATTAGTAGGTAGAAAAATGTCCGGTCTATCCACCTGTGAAGTGTTGTTTTTTTTCCCGACTAAAAATGCTTCAGCTACGCTCAAAATACTGTGAAAATCAAAGAGGTTGTCCAGAATTACTCCAACTTACTCTATAGGCGTATTTGTACAGTGTATTAAAATGGAAAAACAAAACAAACTTTTGTCACTCATGATAGTTCTGATGAACAAACATGTCAAGCTCCAAAGTCGATCATCAGTTATAATAACGGATATTATACTTTAATAATCATAATATCATAAAACTGAGATTTCAGCATATCATAAAAGACTACATAATAACTGAGAGCAAGAAAGAAAACTGTAGTTGAGTATCATTGAAACCCCAAAACCATATGGTAATCTGTTGTAGTTATGCATTGTCGTTTCCAACAAACTTCTTTCTCTCCCCTCTATTTATTAAGGTGATCCACTCTCCCTAAAAAAATATCGTTTTTGAGACAAACATGGTTCACACAGCAGATACCACTTTAAGAATGTATAAAAGAGAAGTCGTCATCAAAATGTCCTAAAGAGTTTTCCAGAGATGGGTTTAATTTAAGAGACAGCCCGCACTAATATGATGCATGACTAAATAGGTGTGTCACCCGATCAAAAATAGATTTTGTTTAAGTGTACTCATCATGTCGAGCGTACAAAATAACCTAGAAATCTAGTTTTTAGATCTTCAACTACCGAAAAATGAGCGAGATATAAATTTTCTTCGAAGAACCCAGCGAAAAATCTCGAAAATCAAGATACATTAAAAACCTTCGAATTATATATCAGTCGAAAGAACACAAAATTCTCTACAGATAAGGTAGTTATCAAATCTAAGAACTAGAACTGGAAAATTTGAATTTACAGTTTTCACGTAAAATTTCTCCCACTAAGCTAGATTGACTGGTCCTACAAAATTTTTACTGCTAGTTTGTAGAACAAACAATTCTCCACAAAATGAGCTACTTTTTATTCTGTTATACCATGGGCCTTGTGTCTACAAAAAAACTACAATAAGTACCACCAACAAATTTTCCAATATTTTTTGTTGAAATCATAAGTAGAATGATAAATAAAAATAAATAAAATAATTTTATACACAAAAATTCATATCTCGCTCATTTTTCAATATGAAGGTCTAAAAAGTTGATTTCTAGATTATTTCATACGTTCTAGATCTATTTTTTGACCGGATGATCGCTTTTCTCAATGGTTGTACAAACCTTGTTTTAAGGGATTGTCCCTTATAAGTTTTTATATATAATTGGAAAGGTTTATTTCTACATAATCGGACAAATCGGATAAAAGACCTATAAAGATTAAGTAAACGATTTCGAAATATTCAATCTACTCGTGTGATGATGTTATCGATGTTTTATTTGGTCGGATAGGATTTTTAGGGAGATATGAATTTCTCATTTCTGTACATTCATAGCTACAATGACTGCCTGGAATTTGCGAAAATTCTGTGAGGAATAGACACACAGAGCGAAAATTTAACCACAATCATACTTTATTATTCGTATCATTCTCTGAAAATTTTTCTAAATATAGGATGAAATACGACAGAAATATTAGTGAGAAACACCTTACATATGAACTGTCTTTGTTCGAAAAAATTTTTTGAACATTTATTTTATATCTTTTAATAGTTTCTCTTAATTTTTGTTCTTGTTATATTTGTTGACTAAACATAATAAATGAGCTAGATGTTGAAACGAATTTATGTTGAAATTGTTCTATCACTTTGATATTCTGCCCGTCTCTCGTACCTTAACAATTTATTATTATTTATTCTTAGATATCAAAACAACGTCAAAACAACGCATTACAATTCAAAATATGCTTGGTTTTATGATATACTCAAATTTTCAAACCACCATTACATGACTTGGTAATATGTAGTTTTGATCAAGTTCAACACAATAAAAAATGTTGATCAAATTCTCTATTAATTTGTATGTAACAAAAAGTTTTCCATATTCTTGTTAACTCTTATCGCATTATTCAAAATATATTCCATTTTTGATTTCTGAAAGCATTTTTCCTACAATTGAATAAATTCGTTCATCATTTGTGAATCGATTTCTAAACAGTTGTACTAAAACATAAATCATCAATAAGATTAACTATTTAAATAGAAAAATCAGTTCGTCAGATAGTAACAAAAAAAACAAGATTTTGTTTTGTTTGATTTTACTACCAGTAATCAGTCGTGTTGTTTATCTATTAGATCAACGAAAAGAATGTATTTTCATGCGAAATCGGAGTAAGTTAAGAAAACAGGCATAAAATAATTAAAAACTATAACAGTCGTCTGATCAAGTCTATGATGTAAATTATTTTAGGTTTAACCCGTTGCGCCTTATTGGTCTAGATATTTGTTGTTCACTTAATAGTTTATTTATTGTATTAAATGCCTATAATTGTCTTTAACTTGCATTCTTGTATAATTATCTTTGATTATTCGTTTTAATAGCAGTGGTGTTTATTTTCTTTATCAAGATCGTTTGTTAATTTCGTCGTACATAACACTATGAAAAACGTTTTTATTGCAATGTTTGACTATATTGTTTTGTAATGATCTGTTGTTGTATTTAACGTTTTATTGTGTAATAGTTGCACAAAAGAACAATAGATACGAAATATAATTTGTTTTTAACCTTTTTTTGACATGTATATGAGAATATTCATATCAAAAGGTTTATAGTTTCATAATAAATGTATAAAAATGTTTTCAAAAATAGTTCATTCTACATATAACTTTTTTTTTTACTAAAATCTTGTACAAAAATGTTCATTAATTAAAACATTATGTTTTTCATAGTCATTAATTTATGTTTCATTTTCAGACTTGTTTTATTCAACAACCAGGCACAAATGTATTCTTTTAAAATAATTAAAACATTGCTGTTTAATCTTGTTTCGGTAGGCGTAGAATCTAAATATCCAATTAAAGTAGATGAACGGCTTTTCTTATGTTTTTAGAAACTGTAAAATCATGCCAACGTGAATATCAAGAATGTGAGAAATGGTCTGTTGTTAAGAATAAAAATTAAAAACAATGCATTATTATTTAACTATTGTTTTTTTCATCATACCAATTCTAAATTGTTATTATTCAATCGAATCAGATTATAAATTTGTTCACTATCAATATAAATATAGTAAAACGTTAGAAGAAAAATTAAAACATTTCATTCAACAATGTCAACAACAACAATGTTTAAATGTTGTTGAAGAGATTGAAAAATTAAATTGTATTAGAAAATGTATATCCTCTGAATGTTATGATGAACTCTATAAACATGATCCAGTAGAAAAAGGAGAATTTGATGTACGTTATATATCATTTAAAGGCTGTATTGCTAAAAAAAAAATTTTACATCGGTTGTAATCTATATTTTTGTTGTTGTTGTTGTTGTTGTTGTACTTAAAATGTCTGTATGTTAAATATGATGTTTGAAAATGATTTTAAACACTATATACTACACAAAGAATTGAAGTGGTGACTGATTGTCGTGTATATACGTAGATAAAAATATGTGGATTTGAGTTACACCATGAGAAATTCTCCAATACACTAATCAAGGGCAAAATTGTCAATTTTCGAAAGGACAGCGGAAGCGCTTCTCAGTAAATCAAATCATTTTAATGTAATAGCGGGTCTTCTGAAAATGTGTATATAAATAAATATTTATTTAATTATGTCTTTTATGAACTTATGTATGTGTCAAACAAGGCTTGGTATTAGTACAATTTGGATTAAAGGTACCAACGTCAAAACGCTTTTTGTGAAACTTTTCCTAAAAATCTAAAAGATTGAAGAGTTAAACTTTTATATTCGAAAATTAATTAATTTCAGAGACGAAATCTGTTCGTGCTTTTTCCCAACCGGATTGAAACAAATTGAAATGTCTGCTGAAACTGAACCGAACTGAACAGATAATTTTTTTTCAAAATTAACTCATAGTGAGTTAATAGTGACTTAATATTTTCGAGAGCATTTTTGCTTTTGTTTCCATACCCATTTTTTTTCGAAAGCGTTTACTTCAGTCTCACAAATAAACAAATACTTATTTGTTATCACCAAAAATACTGTTCTATAAGAATAAAAGAATAAAAACAAAGTATCACATAAGCGTTTGCTTATTCTCATCTAAGAAGTGAACATTTATATTTTAGTAGAAATTTTTAAAAACAATATCATTGACCGTTTTTAGGACTAATTTTGTCCGTTTTGGGGAAATTTTATTTACCTGATGAATTTTTCTTCTTTAATTTTTTAAAAAGCCACCATTCTCAATAAAAATCTTCTCGTACATTCTATTTCACATATTTATTCAACAAATTAAATTATATTTGCATTTACATAAAAACAACAAAAATTTAAAGAAAAATATCCAGGCTACAAAATAAGTTGTTTTCTGATTGCGTAGGTTATTTGATTGAGCAGCTATGACTTACACAACGTGACTGCATTGCACAAACGTGTCTACAGACGACTTAGAGAAAATTATTGGAATGAATCTGTGTGAAACTGACCATCATTGCACCGATCCTCACCGTGATTATCCATGCCTACTATATTTCAATAAAGCTTTTAAGATTATGATGAAGACCGCAGATCCCTAATACGAGAGCTGAAAAATGTTTACCTTATCATTACAGCAAAAAGACACTGATATCGCTGCTTTGTGCCTATTTTTCACTAACTTTCGACGCTTTTGCTAGTCTGTCATTCCGCACAGAACTTGAAAAAGTCTTTTTTCATCTGAAAGATGAATTCAGAATCTACAAATTGGAGAAAATGAAGTTTGGCTGATGACTATCTTGGGAAAAGGTCTAAAGACTCTGATTTCTTACAAGAAAACAGGTGATACCTCGCTTTTTGATCGAAATCTAGTGGGTTATAGGTTATCGATCATGCTGATTCCGAATATCAATATGAGACGGCCCGCTAGGCGTCAATAGAGTGGTTTTCTGGAAAACCAGTTTTTCAGAAAATCTAAAAAATAATCAAAAATTTTCTTAATAAAAGATAATTGTGACCCGCAAATTTCTGATTAAAATGAGACATCTGCCAGCTATACATGACCTTTCTTTGCAAAGTTATAGAACGTACAAGAAAAACCCTAAATTAATTTATTATTTCTGTAGCTTTGAGCTGATAATTTAGGGCTTTTCTTGTTCTATAACTTTGCAAAGAAAGGTCGTGTACCGCTTGATTACGTTATTTTTGACCGTTTTCTTCGGTTTACTGTATTCCAGTAAAACGGCCGAGATTTTTTATTTTTATATGCTTGGATACAGCATTGATTACTCTATAGAACTCAATAGTTTTAACTT